ATTGGATAATTCCATACCCACATGTGCTGGTTCAATTTTGTCAACTTCACACAAACCTCTAGCACTGGGAAGAAGGAACTCAGTTGAGGCATTTTCTACATCAAATTGGTCTGTGCCCATGTATGTGAAGCATGTTCCTTTTTTGGGGGGGGGCTCTTTTTGAGACAGGGTCTCCCTGTAACCCTACCTAGTCTGGAACTTGCTATGTTGAGACTAGACCAGGCTAGCCTCACAGAGATCCACCTGCTTCTGCCTCCTGAGTGCTGGGATTAAAGATGTGTACTACCATGCCTAGTATGAGACACTTTCTTAATTGGTAATTGATGCAGGAGGGCCCAGCCTAGTGTGGGCAGTGCCATTCCTGGGCAAGTGGGCCTGGGCTGTATAGGGAGGGTCCCTAAGCAAACCAGGGAAAGCAAGCCAGTTAGCAGCATCTCTCCTTTGTTCCTGCTTCAGTTCCTCCTTCGACTTCCCTCAATAGTAATGTGGAAGTATAAGCCAAATAAACTCTGTCTCCCCCCAAGTTGTTTTATTACTGTTACAAAAACCAAACTGGTCACATAGATGACCCTGGTTAAACTCATTGGATCACAATGCAAACAACAACAAAAGACATTAACATGGAAAAGGGTTTTTGGTGGGGGTGGTGACAGAGATGCAAGGGAGATAAGAATGAGTAGGAGTTAAGAGTAATTAGAACACAGTTTATACATGTATGAAAATGTCAAAGAACCTATTGAATTTAAGAAAAAACCATAAAAGTCAAGTGGAGAGTGATTGCGGAAGAGACTCAGTATCATCTGACCTACACACACACACACACACACACACACACACACACAAGAAGGGAGGGAGGGATGGAGAGAAAGAGAGAGGGAGAGGGAGAAAGGGAATGAATGCTGGAGAGGCATCTCAGTTAACAGAGTGCTTGCCTGACAGGTGAGAAGAGGGGAAAAAAGATTCAGCAAAAGAAAGCAGAAAGAACCAAAAAAATGGAACTAAAAAAACCGTATTATGGAAAAGCACATAAAAAATAGAATAGTGTGATGAATCCCCATTTACCCATCATCTAGCTTCAACAATTCACCTGTAAACTCATCACATTTCATCTGTAGATAGTTCAGTTTATATCTCTAAAAGTTCTTTGAAACCACAATACCATGATCATACTTTAAAAATATCAGCAATTATATGCATTTTGTTTGTTTGTTTTAGACAGAGTCACATTATGTGGCCCTGGCTGGCGTGGAACTTTCTGTGTAGACCAGGCTCACAGAGAGCCACCTGCCTCTGCTCCTGAATGCTGGGATTAAAGGCATGAGCCACCATGCCCAGTTGTATACAAGGTTGTTATTTCTCTGTTAAAACATAAATGTTTTATGGTTTGAGTAGAGATCCAAAAGGAGCCATGTTTTGATTAGTCAATACATGCTTACATATGTTCTTCTATTTCTTATTTTTTATTTTATGTGTATGAGTGTATTGCCTTCATGTGTGTAAATGCACCCATGTTGTGTAATGCCCACAGAGGTCAGAAAAGGGCATTGGATCCCTGGAACTGGAGTTATGGACGGTTGTTAGCCACCATGTGGGTGTTGGGAATCGAACCTGGGTCCTCTGCAGAGGAGGGGGAAATAAGTATTATAGTTGGTGGTGTCTGTATTTCCATGACTGGTTGTCTGTATTTTCTTGATATCAGCAAATATTGATGACCACTACTAGATCTATTAATTCTAGAAAGATAGAACTAAGTATTGGATGATAGATTGCTTTTAAGCTCCCTGAATTTCTACATTTGTTTAGATCATCTAGAAGGGAATAGGTTGTTTTGTTTTTTTGAGACAGGGTCTCACCTTGTAGCCCTGGCAGACCTGGAACTTGCCTTGTAGACCAGGCTGGCCTCAAACACACAGAGATTCAATTGCCTCTGCCCCCCAAGTGCTAGGATTAAAGGCATGCACCACCGCACCCAGCTCTGACATAGGTTTTAATTGTACACATGTGTTACTCTGTTAAAGAAACATAGTCTTACTGTTTGTGCTTCTGTATTTAATATTTGAACTTGGAGATTGCCTACAGTCTAGTGTGTGCAGCCCCTAAAGAGCTATAGATAAGCAGGCTATTTGCTTGATGTACTTTGAACATTTGGTGCTAATGTTCTCTCAGAAACTGAAGTTAGGAGAGGTAGCTATATACTAGGTAACCATACTGATCCTGTATGTAAGTATTAATAAAGATAATTTCTAATCTTCCAGTTATATAAAGTGATTTTGATTCATTCAAGTTATGCAAAAGATCATATTTTGAAGTTATAATGTCTTTATATAACTCTTTCCTATTTAAAATACATGGATTTATTCCAGCTCTAGAATCTAATGTCACATTTGTTTGGTTGCCAAATAACCATTTTAAAACTAGAGACATACTGTTCCCAAAGGCTTATATAATTTGGAGTAAGTTTCCTCCTAAATGTGGTAGAGAAAAAATTTTCACCCAGTGTATATGCACGTTTAGAGAACATTTAAAATAGATATGTAAATGTTTACCTTAGCCATTTCTCTTCAAATAATTAATGTATGTTTTATTATTGTACTAGTGGCAGTAATGTAGATAATACTTAGGCCCCTAAATGTGGGATTAGACATTATATTGTTTTTCTACATAATTATATTTATTGATGTTCCATACCAAATTGCCTCCTTAGAATTTTTGAAAAACCCCAGTACAGAATAGCTGCTTATGTAGTCCTCATTTAGAATGCTTTCAGTTTTGCAGTCAAGATGTCCTACCCCATCATGCTCAGTAGTATGCTAGAAGTGTAATTCACCAGCATCTCCACTGACACACAGACCACAGGAATCAGACAGAGCCTTAGGTAAATAGAAAGTTAGGAGGAATAAGGCGTCTTTACTGCCCTTGCTCACCTTTAAGCTTCTGTGAGTTGATTTTTTTGCCTCATATTTTCCATTTCCATTCCCATCAGCCAGATCCATTTTTCTTGGAAACGTCACAGAAAATGAGAGAACTCTGTGAAAGGTCATGGTAGACAGTAAATTCTGACCTTTGGGTTTAGTAATATAGTATACATGAATATGTCTTTAAAAGAAATCTTGTTGCTTAATTTTGGCATTACCATCTGTATCATTCCTGACTTGCATTTATAATTTTTCATGCTGTCTCTGCTATTTCCCTCAGTTATCTATTAATTGCCAATACATAGCATACCCAAATTACTTTTTAAAATTTTGGGGGGTTTTAGAGAGATGTCTCAGTGACAAAGAGCACTGGCTATTCTTGCAGAGTACCTGGGTTCAGTTTTAGCACGTATGTGGCGGATAACAACCGTCCATAACTCCAGTTCCAGGGGATCTGATGTCATCTTCTAGCTCTGTGGACATTGCAACGCAGGTGCACTTAATTTACACTCAAGCAAAATACTCATTCACAGGAAAATAAATAAAATTAAAAAATTTTTGTTATATGTATGATTGATGTATTGGGTCAGGGGCATGTGCCATGTTGTGAGTGTGGAGACCAGAGGACAACTTTGTGGAGCCCGTTCTCTCCCACCTTTCATGGGTTCCAGGGATTGAACTCAGGTTGCCAGGGTTGTGTGGCAAGAGCTTTTACCTACTGAGCCATCTTGCTCATCCCCAAAATACTTTTAAAAGTGATCATTTGTTTTGGCTAATAGAGCAAATCAAAGCATGCTAACAATGAACTAGATTTTCCTACTGAAGATCAGTCATAAATTGCAAAATATCAATGTTTGGTTTTGTCTAAAATAAGAAATTTATAATAGCTCAGGTAAATTATGACTGTCCTATTCATGGCACATATCACAGTAGAAAGTAGAACTTGAGAAATAATGTTTTTAGCAATTAACCTATGTATTAACTTAGCAACTAACTTCTATTATTTAAATAGAGTATCATCTTAAAATAATTTAGTTACATAGATGTTGATTGAACTATAAAAAATCAATGGCTTTTTAACATTTTCTTTAAAAAATATTTTTAAAATTAAAAATTGAAAAAAATTTTAATTTGTTTATTTGTGTGTGGGGGTGGGTGCACACATGCCATCATGCATGTATGGAAGTCAGAGAAGTTTTGAAAATTGGTTCTTTCCTTTCATTATGTTTAGTCCTGGGAATTGGTCGTCAGGATTGGTGCCAAGTACCTTTACTCACTGAGCCATCATGCTAGCCCAGACTTTTGAAACATTTTATAAGATTCAAATATCAAATAGCATTTTGTCATACTGTTCTTAATCTCAACTTTTTATTTTTATAAAATTTTTAATTTGCTATTGTAATATCAATTTCTTTTAGTGTTTATTTTTCCCTTTGGTCTTTTTGAGACAGGGTTTCTTTGTAGCCCCAGTTGGCCTGGAACTCACTATGTAGACCAGACTGGCCTTGATCTCACAGAGATCAGACTGCCTCTGCTTCCCAAGTGCTGGGACTAAAAGTGTGCATCATCATGCCTGATTTTGTAATATCAACTTCTAATACTGTAAGTTTATATAGATTCATCAAAACTATTAAGATAGCTGAATTCAAATGAAGTTTATGCAGCGAATTTCATGATGGTTTTCCAAAAAAGTTTTCAAAGAGCATCTATCATACATGTGCTCTCTAGAACTCACCAAAGGAAAGTGAAAACCAGATCTCTCTCTAAAAAAATGCATAGGCTAGCTGACAAAACAGGCTTGGTGGTATATACCTTGTAAGTAGTGCTCTAATAATAGTAGGTACAGATGACTTGGAGCATTTATACAATATTTGTTTCTACAAGAGTTGCTGATCAGGGAGAAGGGGTCATGTTTAGTCTGGACTTTGACAAATACATAGGAATTAGCAACATGGCTAAGGTAGAAAATGACTTCCAGACTGAAGAATCAGCAGAAGGAACTACTATTTGTCCTGCTTGCTACTTCAAAACTCTGTTGTGTGTGCACATAAGCAATACTGATTATCTGTTTAATTTCTCATTAAGGGCACTGGAATTGGCTGTAAAATATAAAACCCATGTTGATACAGTTCTTGCATATCGTCAAAAATTTTTGGAGACATTTGGCAAACAGGAAACTAATAAGCGGTACTTGCAATATGCAGAAGGTGTAAGTATTATACAGTATTTTGTAATAATGTATATGCTTTATATAAAACATTAATATGAATACAAAAATTGAATGATTTATACTATACTTTCTAGGAGCATTTTTTTCTCTTGTGATTTTGTAGCCTTATTTTGTGACTATATGATTGTAACATTATTTTTTCTGGGTTCTTTGTTTGTTAACTCTGTAGTCTGAAGTAGCCTGGAGCTCACTATGTAGCCTAGACTGGCTTCTAACTTGCAGCAATTCTGCTGCCTCAGCTTCTCCAGTGCTAGGATTACAGTCATGAGTCACCATGCCTGGTGTATTTTCCTGGATTCTTTAGCCATATTTTGAATAAGTCAAGTCAGTTTTTATGATACTCATTTTGTCTTAAGTTTGGGTGTTATTCGTTATTTTAGATAAATAATATGTATGTCTGAATGAGAGCTAACTCATGAGTTTTGTCTTCCCTCATTTGAGAACACAAAAAATACTCTGTCATTTCCTAAGTGAAATTATATTGTACATATATTTTTAAAGGTTTATTTTTATTTATATGTATGTGAGTATATCTGTATGTGTATAAGCACATATGTGGTATAGGGGTGTGTGTGTGTGTGCACGCGCATGCGGTGCAGGTGCCCTCAGGCCAGAAGAAGGCATTGGATCCCCTGGAGCTGGAGTTATAGGCAGTTGTGCCAACAATGTGAAAACTGAACTCTGGTCCTCTGCAAGAGTGACCAGCTCTGTTAATCTCTGAGCCATCTCTCCAGCCCCCTGAAGATAACTCTTAATCAGCTCAGAGATGGCATAGGAGGGTGGATCTCCAGTCCTTACTCTATTAGTTTCTTACCATTTTGTCTACCTTACCACAGTTTCCTGCCTCTGGAAACCAAACCCACTATTCTTTGCCTTGTCATTTCTCTATAGTCTATTGTTTTTTGTGGAGATGCTGTATAAGCTAGAGTTTCAAACCACTGCCTGAGTAACCTCTCATTGAGGTTTCTCCTGAGTGATGTGCGTTGCACACACTGATAAACTGACTTGATTTCTTTTTCATTTATTCTTTGCTAAGAGCTCTGTACCAAATATGAACTTATGAGAGTTGAGGAGAAGTTGTACTTCCTGACATTGCCTAAAGTGGGAATGGGAGGGGACTTTGGTAAGAACAGAAACTAGAAGAGTGGTATTATGCAGTCTGATAGGAGTGATATTTCAAAAGGTGGTGGTAAACAAGGTTCAAAGGATGTTCCTATCTCAGGGCCTTTTTGTCCCCTTCCTCAGTTACACACCCAGGTTCACTCCTCTTCCTCAAACCTTAAACTCTTTAGGGCCATCAACATTCCTGATCACTCCATTTGAAAAAGAACTAAAAATTCATCAAGGCCATGTGACTTCCTGGTCTATCCCTGGCACTGTCTCCTTGCCCCACTTTCAAACCCTTAGCACTTTTGACATGCATACTTAAAATTTTATTTTCCATCTCTCTCACTGTGATCTGTCTTTGTTATCTCTTTATGAAGATAGTCTGTTTTCTTTTGTTTTCATTTACTACTGAATCCTTGTACCTAGAGCAAGGATTGACATATTAAGTGCTAAATATTTGTTGAATAGAAAAGGCATATAATAACTGAAAAAGCTAATGGTGGCTTAGGTGAAAAGTGTCTAGGCCTGAGGATACAATTCAGTGATCGAACACTTGCCCAGCATCTGTGAGGTCCTAGTTTTGATCCCTAGCCCCACATTAAACAGAAGTTTCTGAAGTGTAGCTGGTGGACAGTTACTCTGGAGAGAGGAGTGAGAAGGATGAGGGTGGTAGCTTGTGGGGTCAGCATTTAAAACACATTTTTAAAATTTCTTTATCTTCATTTTATATGTATAAGTGTTATACCTGGATGTAAGTGCACCCATGTCATGCAGTACCCACAGAGGACAGAAGAGGGCATTGGATCCCCTGAAACTGGAATTATGGACAGTTGTTAGCTGCCACATGTGTGTTGGGAACTGAACCCCGGTCCTCTGCAAGAGCAGCCAGTGCTCTTAACTGAGGTTCCTAACATCTCTCCCATATGCGTGTATTGCCAGCATGTAGGTGGGTGCAACCATGTTGTGCAATGCCCATGGAAATCAGAAGAGGACATTGGATCCCCTGGAACTGGAATTATAAATGGCTGTTAGCTGTCATGTGGGTACTGAGAATCAGAATCAGGTCTTCTGCTTTAGCAGCCAATGCTCTTAACCACTGAGCCATCTCTTCAGCCCTGAGAGTCAGGATTAAGAGAGGCGAGGAAGCTGAGGGGTCAGTGAAGAGAAGGACTTCGAGTGTGTGAGCAACAGCTGAGGCCATGTCCTGGAGGAGTCAAGAGAGAAGGGATCAGAGACATATGAAGAGGTTAGCTGAGATAGAAGGAAAAGAGATCAGGATGGTCACAGTATGGGTAAGTCTGAGTACAAGGACACAGAACTAAGTGAAGTCATGCTTGATTGCCACTTTATTCTGTGTAAAAGTAGGCAGCAGATTTTTGTTAAGAGTAGGCGAATTGGGTACTGTATGGAGAGCCGTTAGATGCAGTTTTGAAATTGCTTTTATGTGAATAAGAATTGATTAGGAAGCAAAATAAGATGTTCTGAATAGTTTGGTACACCCTATAGAACAAAGTATGGATTTTAATGTAGGAGTCACTTGAAATTGTCAGGGAACACCCTTATCTAAAACCTACTATGAATATATTCTTATCTGAGGACTAAACTATCTGTAGAACTGCCCTAAAACTGGATAAATGCCTAGTAAAATGAGACAGCCCTCTTCCACAGGAGAACATCAACAGTTCCCTAATTTGTATTCTTCAAGTAACTAATAATGTCATCAATTCAGTTAATGGACTGCTAGTGCTGCACAGCAATAGGTGTTCAGTGTATAGTTTTATTGTGATTAGATAAACATATAAGGCTGGAAAAAGGCCAAGACATTCATTAAATTTTGTCTTTTCATAAATGTTATATTAGACATGGAAATGCATATTTTGTCATTTAAAAATATTAGGTTATGACCTGATTACAAATTAGTCTTACAGATAATCTACCATTTGCTCTGCTTTTCAGCAGGTTGTCCTTTGTTTCTAGCACAGACTTTTTTTTTAGCATAGACATTTATCTTCACAGTAAGAACATTTCTCCTATTATTAATTCATATATCTTCTGTATTAACAGATAAATATGTACAATTATTATTTTTAATATTTTATTTTAATTGTATGTATATGAGTGTGTTGCCTGAATGTATGTAAATGCACCCATGTAGTACAGTGCCCACAGAGGCCAGAAGAGAGCATCAGATACCCTGGAACTAGAGTTATGAACAGTTGTTAGCTGCCATGTGGGTGCTGGGAATCAAACCTGGGTCCTCGAAAGAGCAGTCAGTGCTCTTATCTGCCGAGCCATCTCTCTAGCCCCTATAGTATATCTTTTTGGGTCAGCGTAATCCTTGCAGCCCCAGCTGGCCTGGAACTTATTATGTAGACCACGCTGGCGTTGAACTCACAGAGATCCACCTGCCTCTGCCTCCCCAGTGCTGGATCAAAGGCGTGCACCACTACACCCAGTCACAATTATTATTTTTAAGGTGACCAAAATTATTCACAGATTACTTCATGAAAATGTAGATATAGCATGTTAGAATAAAAAGAAACAAATAATCAGATAATTCCATCAGCTACTAACACAAAAGAAAAGATGCATGAAATTCTGTTAAGGTTAAATTGATTTCTTAGTTTCATCAGACAAATCTGCTCAAGCAGTGGGTAGTGCTTCTGTCTGCTTTCATACTGTTCACTCAGCTCTCCTTTGTGGAGGTAAAAACCTGTTCATTTCTGATGGAAGTCTTAGGGCTTTGGGTTTATTTCATAATAAATCAGTTTAAGCTTAATCTAGAACCCAGTTTTTCCCTTGTCTGTTTCAGAGGATACACATTTCCTAAATAAGTGATCTCCAAATTTGTTTAATAGTAGATTTCTAAAAGAAATGGATTCCTACAGAAATTGCTTGTAGAATTCAGGGGCCGAGTCCTTTCCCAACAAGTCTAATGTGTTTAGAAGAGGGACAGGTCTGGGCTAGGAGAGAGTGCCTGCATCCTGATAGAAGAGAAGTAAATAGGTGAAAAGCGTACTTTTTACTTGCTGTCATGTTTTCCCAGTCTCACCTTCCCTCTGCTTCTCTCATGTCTTTTCACAGTTTCTTAGTCACCACACCCTTCTGTCACATTGAGTTGTTGCGATGGAGCCATTGCATAGAAAATGCTCAAGAGAAGTTAATGTTCCCTTGTGTTTTCTTATAACTAGGTTTCTAATGGGAAATTCAGTATATAAGAGGTTCATGAACGTAAGGAGGTAGAGGCTTCCAGGCCACTAGAGGCTTGCTCATGTGCACCTGTGGCAGTGATGACATCAAAGGCGGGACCCATATCAGCTCAATGAAAGAAGGGCCCAAAGGGGAGGTGAGAAATAGGTGGCAGGTCAGCACTAGATTGAGAAGTATTTGAGACTGATTGCATACTGATAGTATGACTTACATATGATCACTGGATGGGCTGACTAGACTCCAGTGGACACTGAAGGACATTTGGATACAAACACCGAATGTATAGGACTCAGCATATATGGCAGAGTGCATAGGGTTCGGTGGGGGGATGGGGAAGGCATGGATGGAGGAGGTGGTCTGGATATGAGTGGGAAATATTGTATGAAGCTCAATAAAACAAATTTTTTTAAATACAAAAAAAAATGAGATTAAGTTGCCTCGCATCCGGGCAAGAGAATGTGTCAGGAAGAAGCTAAATGTGGAGATTTTGTTATATATTACTGATTCAGTAGCTTCTATGTAGATCAGACCAAATTTCTAATAATTAATAAAGTGACTTTTGCACTGAAAATTAAAAAAAAGAAAAAGGGCAGGCCTGATGGGAATACGCCTTAGTGTTCAGAGAGCCCTGTCCATTTTTTGTTTTGTTGAGAACAGAGCAGTGCACTTTTCTCCCTGAGCTCCTGTGCAGAATCCTAAGGTTTCATGGGTCATTTAATTAATGCTTTTTATAAATAGTTGCAACTAAACTTTGGTCTTTTGAATCACAATATGAGTCTTTTTATTATATAATTGTCTGTTGGATCTTCTTCCTTTAGGACCTGTCTTTAGGCAGGTCGTGGGTTTTCAGCATTACTTCTCATTAACTTTCTATACTTTTTCATATGTTCTGTTTTTGTTTACTCTTGGTTTGGTTACATTGGATTAAACAAAAGTATCTTATATTATATAAGCATGTTTATTTTTCTCTTCTATTGTAGCTCCAAATAGATTGGGAGAAAATCAAAGCCAAAATTGAGATGGAAATTACTAAAGAACGAGACCGATCATCAAGTGGCCAGTCCGGCAAGAATATGGGCTTAAAGCACTAAGTGCCATGCTAACCTTTAAGGAGCTTTATGTTTGAATCTAGTACTGATTAACCAAAGATATGCATGTCTTGATTGCTAAAGAAAAAGGCATCATTTTAAGACTAGGGCTGTTACTCAATGGTATAACACTTGCCTAGCATGCATGAGGCCCTGGGTTTGATACCTAGCACTGCCAAAAAGAAAAAGACATTATCTTCAATTAATTGTAAGCACTTTCATGTCTTTAATACTAAAAGTACATTCAGGAAAATTAAGCACAAAATAATTGATTTAATTCCATCTTTTATATTTTTCTAGTCTAATAATTAGCAAAATATTTCCATATACTTATTTATACCCAAGGAGTGTTGATTACATTCTAGTTTTGTGTTCATTACTTTATTCCTGGTTCTTCATTATGAACAAATATTAATGCTGATAATAAAATATTGGACTCTTTAAAATGTATATTAATTTCTGTTTGACCTGTAAAATGTAAATTATCTCCCAAAGTTTATAAAACAAAAAAATACCTGAGGCTAATTTCTGAAAATGTTACAATGCAGACATTCATACACCAAAATTGATAACACTATTTAAATAGTAAAAGCTGGGAACAGCACAACCTTCCATCAGTGGCTGACTAGATAAATCAATGTGTTTTACACATGTGGTGGGATATTATCAGTCTTAAAAGGAGTAAACTACTGATACATGCTGCACCATGGGTGAACCGTGACACATTTGCACTAAGTCAAGCAAACTTAACACAGAAGTCATTTTGCAAGATTCTACTTCCATGAGCTGCCTAGAATCAGCAAGTTCTTTGACACAGAAAGGAGAATAGTGGTTATAAGGGACTAGGGGGAGGGGAATATTGGAGTTTATTATTGTTTCTTTTAAATAAATATTCTTTGAGAATTTCATACAAATTTCATATAATGTGTTTTGATTTTATTCACCCCCAAATACTCCCCTTAACTCCTCCCAGTTCCACTCCTGCCTCCCTACTCCTCCAATTTCATGTCCTTGTTTTAAACAACCCATCATCTCCAATTTGTGCCTCTCTCAGAAGCCATCAGCTGTCCCTAGCTCCTTAGGGGTGAGGGTTCAGGAATCCCTTCCCAAGGGAGTTTGTTTAATGGATACAGTTTCTGTTTGGGGTGGTGAGCAAGTTCTAGACATAGGTAGTAGTGATGGTTATTTAATATTATGAATGTTAATGGTCCCGAATTGTCCTCTTAAAAAGACTAAAATGTTACATTTTGTTATTTTTTCCATATACCATATTAAAAATATTTATCTAGAACAGGCAAATTTTATTTTCTTCATTCCTCTCCTGATGAGAATGTTTTAGGCATTAGAACTTAGAATCTGAATTGTGAAAATCTCCTTAGTTGATAAACCTGTTTTACTAGCCTTAATCTGATATGTTCCCACATTAATAACTACCACAAAAGCCTTTTGACATTAGTAATAACACAAGTACTTCCATGAAGCTGTTCTGTTCTGTTCGTGGAATTGGTGTGTTATAGAGAGTACACACATGAGCACTGGGAAAGAGTTCCTTTCCCATCACCATTTTAGTGACTGTCTCTAGGTTTCTCTCATAGAAATGTTCTTTACTTTCCAACATGTTGCTTTTCTTTCCTGGAATGTTGGAATATTTGGACCTTAATCCAGATTCTGGATACAGGTATGTATTCCATTCATGAAATCTGATTGAGGAATTTACTTATATGCTTTCTATATTGTTAATGTTTAAAAATAATAAAAATGGTTTAAATGGTAAATTTTATGTGTAGTATATTTTATCACAGTAAAAAGTAAAAAATAATGATGAAGTAGGTCTGAATTCTTTGATATTCTACAAGTCAATTCAATTTTGACACCACCTGTGGTTAGCATTGGATACCACAAAGGCCAAGGACCTGGCCAGATTGTACTTTCTTCAGATACTGAATATGCTGGAATCCCCCAGGTGACCTGTACCTTGTGTCTTGCATGGCTGTATATGTCTTAGGATTCCCATGACACTCCTCTCTTCAAGTTTGATAATTCATTGAGTGATTCATAGAATATGCTGGAAGTGTTTACTTACACTTTTATTTAAAGGAACAGATAAACAGATGTGTAGAAGAGGTGCACAGAGCAAGACCTGGGAAAGAAGTACCATGGTGGGGTGCAGAGGAAAGAGGAAGGGACATGGAACCTCCACATGCTGACCTTGGTGAATTTAGATGCATCATCTTCCCAATACATGAACATGGTCAACCAGGAAGCTGATTCCCAAGCCTTGCTGTCTTGAGTTTTCCTTGTTTTTGTTTCTAAACTCAGGGTTTGTTTACATAAGCATAATTGATTAAAACAGTGGCTGTGGAACTGAACTGAATGTCTAGGCCCCTTCTTTCGCCCTGAGAGCTACTGAGTGAAATTCCATCATGTGGTTGGTTTTTCTGACAACCACATCCGGTCCTGAATCTATCTAGGTTCCTTTCCCTGAAATCACCCCATTATAACAGATACCCTATCACATAGGAAATTCCTGGGACTTTGAAAGTTCTGTGCCAGGAGCCCTCCTTTTTTAAGAATCAGATTCTTTTTAGGGTTTTTATATACTGGTCTTTGACACAGTATCATCTTTTGTGTATATTTTTTATTGAATTTTTGTGTATTTCATATACAACATCTTAATCATCTTTATACAAAACCTCTTCCCCGTCAGCACCTTCCCATAGCACCCCCACTGGATTTCATGTATTTTGTCATTTATGTTAAGACCTATCAAGTCAAGTTAGTTGACATAGTATCTTACATTAAAAACAAAAATCAGCATAACATAGCAACTTTGATGGTTAATCTTGGTTGTCAACTGGACAACCTCAATAGAGGAATTTCCTCAATCAGATTAGCCTGTGGCTATGTCTGTGGGGGTATTTTCTTGATTGCTAATTGCTATAGAAGAGCCCAATCTACTATGGGTTGCAAATCCCTAGGCGTTCAGGCCCTGGGCTATATAAAAAGGTTAGCTAAGCCTAAGCCAGAGTGCAAGCAGAGTTCTGTGCTGCAATCTCCTGCCTTGAGTTCCTGCTTTGGTTTTTCTTGATAATGGGCTATAATCTGTAAGATGAAATATACCCTTTCTTCACCAAGTTGCCTTTGGGTATGGTGTGTATCACAGCAACAGGAAAGCAAACTAGGACAGCAACATTGGTAATTTCCCAACCCACCCAGGCCAGTGTGAATTACATACTGCATTATGGTAAATGTAAACAGAAGATACTGGTGCATTACTAGAGCCTTATCTAGTCTGTATTAATCCAAATCTTCATCATTTTGTGACTGATGTGCCTCTAGATGGGGGTCATTCAGGTTTGCAGGTGTCAATTAGATCTGACAAGTTTCCAAAAGCAGGAAAGGTTTCAGCAATACACGGCTTTACCTTTTGGGGCATCTGATGTTATTGAACTAAGACAATATGTCTTCTGATCTTCCTTAGAAGCATTAATGTAATCTTGGCATTCTCATTTATTTATCCATTAATTCATTCCTCTACCCTTGGGTACCATTCCTGCTTCCCTACCTTATACAGTTTTTCCATCTTTGGAAAGGGCATTAGATCTGGCCATTGTGCTGATCTAGATGATAAGCAGCAATTCAAGTCTAGGAAGTACTTCTCCCTCGGTTCACTCCATAGAGTATAAGTTTACACTCAGTATAGAGTCAGAAAGCCATTTCTATTAATAAGCAACATACCCCTATTACTGGTGATACTGTTTTGACTTGAATGTACCCTCCAAATCTCATGTTAAAATTTAATAACCACAATGAAGACATTGAGAAGTGGTACCTTAAGTGTTTAAGTCATGAGTACCCTACCTTCACAAGTGGATTGGTGCCTTAACAAGAGAGTGGTTTTGCTAGAAAAGTTCTCTCTCACAACACAGATGGGTGTTCTCTTGCTCCCTCTGCATGCTCTTTCACCATTTCATGCCCTCCACCATGTTAGGATGCAGAAGGCCCTTATGAGATGCCTATACCCTGATAGTGGATTCTCAGCCTCCAGAACCATGAAAAAGAAATTTCTTTATAATTCACCTGTTCTGCAGCATTCCCTCATTGCAGCAGAGAACAAACTAAGGCCCATCCCATCAGGCACTTGGGAATTTAACTGCAAAGGTCTAATGGCTTAGTTTCTTAGGTAGGAATCACTTGTGCTCCCAACACTTGGAGCTGCAGCCCTGGCTCTGACCACTGCATCTAGAAATGTTCCAGTTTCATTTCTGTTGCTTTATTAAGACAGTGTGATAAAAAACCAGCTATGGGGAGGGAAGGGTTTATTTGGCTTACAAGCCCAAGCACAGTCCATCATTGAGGGAAGTCAAGGCAGGAACTTGAAAGCATGCTTGTATACTGTTCCACACAGCATTATCTCTTACCAAGAAACACTGCAGTCCTTAAAAAAGCACAAGCAGGAACCATGGTGGATGCTGCTTGCTGCTGGCTGGAAGGCTGGCTTATGTAATTCAGGACCACCTGCCTAGGGGCTGTACCACCCACAGCAAGATGAGCCCTCCTACAATCAAATTAACAATCAAGACAATTCCCTACAGACATGGCTAGAGTTCAGTTTGATCTAGGAAATTCCTCAGTTGAGGCTTTATGCTTAGATGACACTAGGCTGTGTCAAGTTGAAAGTTAGAGCTAACCAGGACAGTTGGAAGAAGAAAGTTGAAGAAAGGTGGGGAAGAAAGGAAAATGTAGTCATACCAACGTCCCTGCTATGCACAGCACTGTATAACCATAGTAGTATCCCTCCCTGTTTCCTCGTCTCCAGATCCAGCAGAAAAGCACAGGAATCTGTCTCATGCAGATGCTCAGTCCCCATCATGCTGAGCCTCCTCACACACTCAAGAAGGCATACATGCTTGGCCTTCCTGGGTGTATTTCCCTCTAGTTTATGCAACCAATGATTGTTTCAGTTGCATATTACAATTCTCTGTCAAACATCTTGTCAATAGTAATACCTGTTACTGGTATTCCTTGGTTTAGAGTATGGTGACTTGGCTGGACTGGTGTCGTATCTTCTCATCTTGTTCTTTGTCTAAGCATGTTCATATATTCCTAGGTAAATAACTCTGACCCAGAATGTCTGTTCCTGTCAGGATCCATGTGTATCCCACTGTTCTCTACTTCCCAGATCTACTGGCATCAGTTCAACTTGTCAGCTGTGTGTGGGGCCTTCCCCTTAGAGAATCATCTTTTAGACTTTACCTGCAGTTTCTGTCTTGTTGGCAGACAAAACAGCTCTTATTGTCATTTTGTACCTCAGAGGATCCAAGACCATCATGTTTGTATTCAGGCCATGTTTGCATTTCTGCAGCTCCCCAAACCCATTCGCCTTATGAACCCAGGCAGCTATGACAAATGATCACACCAGGCTGTCTGCTCTTGGATCCCAATTACCTTCCAAATGCTGGAAGGGCGTTCTGAGGGGCATTGACATGTCTGACTTTAATATGCTCTTCAGTTCCCATGGTGATTCCCATGGGGCCATGCCCCACAAAGGCATCCCTTTACTAGCTTAATCTTCCATACCCCTGTTGCCTGTCCATATGGCCACTGACTAATCACAGATGAGTAGGTGAAAACCCAGAGATAGGAGTACTAGCCTAGAATGCAGTCCATAAAGCAATTTGTTTTCACCCTCTTTGTTTGGAGTGGTGACCTTCCAAACAATGTGACATCCGTAAACCAAACACCTACTTGCCAATTGGTTCAGAACTGTTTACAGCACACTGTTCAAGGGATGGTAAGGTCTGGTTGCTCTTTACATGGCTCTGAAGTCCAAAGGAGAAGAGATTACCTGTTTCTAACAGCTGTATTTTCCCAATATATACTCCTATAAACATCATTTCTATTTTTTTTAACAAACTCTTGAGTACTGTCCTCTGCAAAATATTTCCCTGATATCAGTCTAGATTGTGAATATTTCAGATTTCAAGATTATTATATGTTCTTTAGTCCCAGAAGCAGATTAAAAATTTAATTCTAGAGAGTTCTACAACTGGTGACACACACAGAATAAGTGTGAGTCTCTTGGATTCCAATTACATTCCAAATGCTGGAAAGGCATTCTGGGAGATGCCCAATGCTAAGTGACACATCTACAATGGAATCTCTAGACCTAAGGTTTGTAGAGCATACTGGAACAAGGAGTAGATGCATCGTTCAGCTCTCATCAACAAAGCTCCCTCATGCAACAGTGGGCCATGAACACAAAAGGTCACAAATGGCCAAAGCATAGAGAATAAGAGTCTGCAGAGTGTGGATCCTTGCACAAGACCCATGCAAACTCAAGCAGACAAAAACCTAGCATAGAACTGGGGAAATGGACAGCTGATCTCAATCTCAGAGAAGAAATACTGGCAACTAATTACTGCTGGATGAGGAAGAGCTGATCTTCCTAAAGTGAGAGACTCTAGATAGGCTGACTAGATAGACCTCAGTAGATGAACTTGCACTGAGGAATGTCTGGGGACACTAACTTGACACAATAGGCCTTAAGACAAATGACAGCATATGAATTCCAGTGTGTGTGGAGCTATAGGAGGGTGCCAGTGGGGAAGGGGTTATAAACATGATTAAGATTGAGATGTTCTGTATGAAATACACAATTTTTTTTTTAGCTTGCACTGAGGGACATCTGGGTACACTAACTTGAGTCAATAGGTGTTAACCTATATGACAGAATGCATGGAATCCAATAAGGAGTGAGGGAGGCTATGGGAGG